GAAACGTTGGCCATAAAGTCACACTGGAGCGCCTCAAGATTCCTACAGAAGTGTTTATATATACATATACATATACATACATACATACAGATATATATATATATAGTTGTTTTTCACTTTCATGGGGAACTGGTTCACTTTGACCCCAGAAAATGTGGAGTTTCTGAAAAGAAAATCTCACCAGCAATAAAAGAGGTAGAGCACCCAAAAAATTTATTGTTGCCCATGCAGTTATTTGGCTGCTTTTTTTTTTTTTGGTCATGTCAGGAGCGACTTGAGAAACTGCAAGTTGCTTCTGGTGTGAGAGAAGTGGATGTCTGCAAGGACGTTGCCCAAGGAACGCCTGGATTTTTTTTTTGATATTTTTACCATCCTTGTGAGAGGCTTCTCTCATGTCCCTGCATGAGGAGCTGGAGCTGACAGAGGGAACCCATCCACACTCTCCCCTGTTTATAAGTCCTATATCCCTAAACAATATATTTCGATCCAGTTAAATAAATGCATAGCCAATGGCTATGACAAAAAGCTTTAAAATACAGAAAATAAATATTACAAAAGGCACCTTTATATTTTGCATGCTGTAACCAAAGTTATTTCATAGTTAGTGTGAAGGGTAAAATATTACAAGTAAATTTCTACACTGACAACATAAAAATCAAGTTATACTTTGAGTCTCCATGCCAGTTTAATCTAGCTCTTGTTGATCTCTTTTGCAGTCAAAGCAAAAAGATTCCCTTTACATGTTACCTAATTACTGGAATCACTCTGAAAAAAATGAAATCGATTCTATTTACAGAGCTTCCATTTCCATTTGACCCTAAACAATATATTAACCCATCCATTATATCAAGCAGCATAACTCTAACCATACTGTTAAAAGAAATACAAAACAAGAAAGAAAAATAGTATTCAGTACTCTCCAAGGTACCTGGAAATATTCTCTGAGGCACCTGGAAACCAAAGGAGATTTATTACTTCATATGAAAAATCCTCAAGCCACAGTTCGGAAATGTTTCCCTAGAAAGAATCTAAATAGTTTAGAATAAGCAGAATATTTTCCAGTTTTCTTATGGACCCAAGTGCCTTTCTTCGCTTTTTATAAAGTCTCAAAACTGCAGAGATACATAATTTAGGACAGTGCTTCTTAAGCAATCTGATGAGATGGTTCAGCAGGGGTTTCCCCAAATATGCCACACTCCAGTTCCTCATTTGTGTTCATTGGCTATATTTGTTTTTTGTTTGTTTCCTGGAAGCTCCTGGATCAGAGATCAGTCCGTAGACCACCACTTTGAGTGGAACTGATTTAGGGTATCCCAAAGACTAGTGTGAAAGATGTCCTTACAATTCAATTGCCTGGATTGTTGTTATTGTGCACCTTTGTTTCCAACCTATGGTGATCTAAATGAACTTCTTATGGGGCTTTCTTGCCAAGATTTGTTTAGAGGCTGAGAGCATGTGACTTGCCCAAGGTCACTCTGCAAGTTTCCATGGGTGGGTGGAAATTTGAATCTTGGTCTCCAGAATTGTCTTTCTGCACTGAAAACCACTACATTGCTTTAGCTCTCAATTAAAGCAAAAAACTTTTTATCCCAAGAGCAGGTGATGGATCCTTGAAGCCAGTCTCCTGGTGGTGAATTTGGATAGTGTGGGACAGTCCAAACTTTATTTTGAACTTCAGGTACACATATCTCAGTTTCTTATTTATAATATGTATGATTTTATTTTATCTACACTTTCTCCCTATTGGGAGTGCTTTGATTGTGCCTTCTTACATAACGGGGGTTGGACTGGATGGCCCTTGGGGGTCTCAACCAGCACCAGGATTCTAGGATTCTATATCAGGAGTAGGCAATACGAGGTCTAATGTTTCTCTCCCGTCCACCAGCTCATCCTAACCAAGACCTTACCCTTTTGGGGTCCAAACACTTCCCATCTTTCCTTCACTTTCTGCCTCCAAAAGAGAAGAAGAAGGGGAGGAAAGGGCAGGGAGGGGGCTTCGGGAGAATCCTCTTCCTCCCTTCCATCTCACTCTGCTCTGGCCCACCAAGTGGCCCCCAAGTTAGAAAGTTTGCCTATGCCTGCTATAGAGGAAACTACACAAGAATCAACTGCACTACATAAGAAGCGTAAAGAAAAAATAAGATTACATGAAACTTGTATATACATGGTGTCCATAAAGTCTCTTTACCATTAAAAATATATATAACAAAGGCAATTGATGAGATATCGTAATCAGATTTATTCTATGTACTCAGTGGTTATGAAAGTTTTTAATCACATTACATCTGTGTATTTTAGGTACCCTGTGGATGAAAGAAGTACTGTTAAATGAAATTAACCCCTAAAATATCTACTCCTCGGGAGAAGGCACAATGTGTATCATAGTTTATTGAAATAAAAAACAGATAGGCAGACTCAGTGAAACTACAGATCTAAATATGGAAGATATCCACCATTAAATCATTTTGTAATAATTTCTACATATTTGTCTTTTCATTAGCTTTCATAATAAAAAAAATTAATGGTAAAGAGACTGTACGGACACCCTGTATTTTATATATTGTATGAAACTCTTATAAGGCATTAGTTTAACCTCTAGTTTAAACTGAATTACTGTGCCGTGAAAGGATGCATGTCTCATAAGAATGTCACCATGTCACCAACATGGAAAGTTTGGAAAGAGCTGCTTTAATCATGTGGTCTGCAGCCCCTCCCATAATTTCTCAGGAAACATAGAGTAAGGAAAGAAAGCTGCATACCAGAACATACATACAAAAAGGCCCCTTCCACACAGCTGAATAAAATCCCACATTATTATTTTTTTTGCTTTGTACTGGAATATATGGCAGTGTGGACTTGGATAACCCAGTTCAAAGCAGATATTGTGGGGTTTTGTGCCTTGGTATTTATTTATTTATTTATTTATTTAAAAGTTTTGTATACCGGCCTTCTCACCTCTCTTGAGGGACTCAGACCGGTTTCCAACCATAATATCACATACAATCAATAAAACATCATAATACATATTACAGTAAAACATTAAAACATCAATTACAATAAATAGTTATAATGGTCAGTCGTCACACTAAAATCGTTGCTCATCGTCCTCCATCCATATCTCAGGGTGTTGGCTCACTCATCGAATGCCTGTCTCCATAACCAAGTCTTCACCTGTTTCCTAAATGTCAGGATAGACAGGGCGGTTCTGATCTCCAGTGGGAAAGAGTTCCAGAGTCGAGGGGCCACCACTGAGAAGGCCCTGTCCCTCGTCCCCACCAGACGCACTTGCGAGGCCGGTGGGACCGAGAGCAGGGCCTCTCCAGATGATCTTAATAATCTTGATGGTTCATAGGGGAGAATTCTGGATTAGATGGCTGTGTGGAAAGGCCCTTGGTAAGCAACAGGATTATATACAAAGAAATTGTTAGAGGAGGCTTAAAGAAGGTTGTAATTTCCAACAAATTCAAGTTAAGAACAAACCTACAGAACCTACCTTGGGCCCTTTCTGCACTGCCACATTATCCAGATTATCAAAGCAGATAATCCAGATTGTCTGCAAGTCATTTCTGGTGTGAGAGAATTGGCCATCTGCAAGGACGTTGCCCAGGGGATGCCCAGATGTTTTGATGTTTTACCATCCTTGTAGGAGGCTTCTCTCATATCCCTGCATGGGGAGTTGGAGCTGGCAAAGGGAACTCATTCTCACTCTCCCCGGATTCGAATCTTTGACCTATCAGTCTTCAGTTAGGGTTTAACTGAGTTTCTCAAGTTGCTCCTGAAATGGGGGGAAAAAACAGATGGTCTGCTTTGAAACAGATTATGTGAATCTGCACTGCCATATAATCCAGTTCAAAGCGGAAAATCTGAATTTGATATGGCAGTGTAGGAGGGGCCTTGCTGGGGACTGCCTGTATATAGGCCCTTCCACACAGCCCCATCATCCAGAACATCAATGCAGAAAATCCTACATTATCTGCTTTGAACTGAAATATATGGCAGTGAGCATTCAGATAACCCAGTTCAAAGCAGATATTGTGGGATTTCCTGCCTTGATATTTTAAGTTATAGGGCTGTGTGGAAGGGCCCTGAGTCAACCCTCAGATAATGTGGGATTGTCTCCCTTGATATTCTGGGATATAGGGCTGTGTGGAAGGGCCCTACGTTTGGACTCATGCCTGGGGTGGGGGTGGCCATGGGAACTTTTGAATCTGAAGGCTATATATATATATATATATATATATATATATATAGTATTGTCGAAAGCTTTGAGGATGCTTGCCATAGATGCAGGCGAAACATCAGGAGAAAAATTGCCTCCAGAACATGGCCATATAGCCCGGAAAAACCTACAACAACCCAGCTATATATATTGTATTTCTCTGCCCAGTGGGTTATGTTGATTTGTTGGCAGACTACTGCAATCGTCCTCCTTTCCAGCTGGAATGAAATAAAACCTTGGTGGCTCTCTCTTCAACGTGGTGAGATTTATTCTGGAATACTGGCTTCTTTTCTCACCAGGCAACCCACAATGGTTTGGGTCTATCCACAGCCATTCTAAATTTCTCGACAACAATATCAAAGCAGGCATTCCCACAATATCCGCTTTGAACTGGGTTATCTAAGTCCACACTCTGATAATGTGGGATTTTTCTGCCTTGATATTATGGAACATAGGGCTGTGTGGAAGGGCCCTGAGTCCACACGGCCACATATCCCAGTTCAAAGCAGAAAATGTGGGATTTTCTGCCTTGATATTCTGGGCTATAGGGCTGTGTGGAAGAGAAACAGATGAAAGACAGTAAGCAACCCCATATCTGCCTGATGGGAAGGAAGCAGCCTGGCTAGCCAGCCCTGCCCAACCCCAAGGTGTATCTCCCCTTGTAGGCAGCTTGGCCCCACTGGGGTTGTTGCCCTGGCTCAAGGCTAAGGACCCCTGGGAGGCGTCGTTTCCCCAGGTCTGAAGCTTCCAGGCGGGAGGCGGCCTCTGTGCCGGTGGGCGGGGAGGCAGGCGAAGGGGCGGCCGGAGCTGGGCGCCGGGGCCCGCCTTCTCTCCTTCGCCTCCGATCCGAGGAACATGGCTGCGGCGGCTTCCTCTCCGCCTGTGAAGGTAAGGCGCGCTGCCTTCAAGGCGCCTGGGCTTCCTTCCTTCCTTGTCTCCCTCCCGCTTTCATCCCAAGCCCTTCCTCCTTCCTTCCTTCTCCCCTTCCTTCCCTGGCTCTTGATCCCGTGGGGAGGCCTTGGGCACGAGGGGATGGGGACCCATGCCCTCGCGGCCTGCCGCCGGAAAGCACCAAAAAGGCAACAAAGTTTTCTTTGCCCTTCCGACGCCTCGCTCCCTTCCCACCCCTTTGTATTGTTCCTGCCTGAAAAGGTGGCCCTGGCTCTCTCTTTCACATTGCAAGGCTTGCATTAGGACTTCAAGGCGACTGGGGGTGTTTCTACATGGCAGAATGAATGCGGGTTAACCGCATGGCTCAAGAGAATCCTGAGAGGTGTCCTTTTAAAGCCCCCCACCCACCCACCTACTCTTTCTTGCCAGTGCATTTCAGCACTTTGACTAATAGGGGGCATCTACTATACCAGGCATGGGCAAGCTTGGGCCCTCCAGGTGTTTTGGACTTCAACTCCCAGAATTCCTAACAGCCTCACAACCTCTGAGGATGCTTGCCATAGATGCAGGCAAAACATCTGGAGAGAAGATTAGAGAGATGGGCCAAAACTAACAAAATGAAGTTTAAAAATGACAAATGCAAGACACTCCATTTAGGCAGAAAAAATAAAAATGCAAAGATACAGAATGGGGAACAGCTGGGGATCGATAGCAGTACATGTGAAAAAGATCTTGGGGTCCTCGTGGACAAGTTAAATAAGAGCCAACAATGTCATGTGGTGGCAAAAAAAAAAACCAATGGGATTTTGGCCTGCATCAATAGGAGTCTAGCCTCGAGATCCAGGGAAGTCATGCTACTACCCCTCTATTCTGCGTTGGTCAGACCACACCCGGAATATTGTGTCCAATTCTGGGCACCCCAATTGAAGAGAGATGTTGACAAGCTGGAAAGTGTCCAGAGGAGGGTGACTAAAATGATCAAGGGTCTGGAGAACAAGCCCTATGAGTAGTGGCTTGAAGAGCTGGGCATGTTTAGCCTGCAGAAGAGAAGGCTAAGAGGAGACATGATAGCCATGTGTAAATATGTGAGAGGAAGTCATAGGGAGGAGGGAGCAAGCTTGTTTTCTGCAGCCCTGGAGACTAGGACGCAGAAAAATGGCTTCAAGGTACAAGAAAGGAGATTCCATCTGAACATGAGGAAGAACTTCCTGACTTTGAGAACTGTTCAGCAGTGGAACTCTCTACCCCGAAGTGTGGTGGAGGCTCCTTCTTTGGAAGCTTTTAAACAAAGGCTGGATGGCCATCTGTCGGGGGTGCTTTGAATGCGATTTTCCTGCTTCTTGGCAGAGGGTTGGACTGGATGGTCTCTTCCAACTATCATTCCATGATTCTACGTCAGGAGAGAATTCTTGTAGAACATAGACATATAGCCCAAAAACCTACAACAACCCAGTGATTCCGCCCATGAAAGCCTTCGACAATACAGCCTACCGGCTGTTAGGAATTGTGGGAGTTGAAGTCCAAAACACTTGGAGGGCCCAAGTTTGCCCATGCCTGTGCTACACTGTAGAATTAATGTCTTTTGGTGCCCCCCTCCCCCCATGGCGCAGTGGCTTAAACCACTGAGCTGCTGAGCTTGTTGACCAAAAGGTCGCAAGTTCGAATCTGGGGAGCGACGTGAGCCTCCGCTGTCAGCCCCAGCTTCTGCCAACCTAGCAGTTTGAAAACATGCAAATGTGAGTAGATCAATAGGTACCATTCTGGTGGGAAGGTAACGGTGCTTCATGCAGTCATGCTGGCCACATGACCTTGAAGGTGTCTATGGACAACGCCGGTTCTTTGGCTTAGAAATGGAGATGAGTACCAACCCCCAGAGTCGGATACGACTGGACTTAATGTCAGGGGAAAACCTTTACCTTTTTTAACTGCCATGGCTCAGTGCTAGGATTTGTAGTTTGGTGAGGCACCATCCCTCTTGGCCAAAGCGGGGGAAAGGCTTTGTGAGACTACAATGTTTCTGGGCCAGAAGTGTGCCAAGAATTGCATTAGAGGACCCAGAAAGGCTCACAAACCCTTCTTGGAGGGGATATTTTCTGGAAAGTTAGCCCCCTTCCACACAGCTGGATAAAATCCCACATTTTCTGCTTTGAGCTGGAATATATGGCAGTTTGGACTCAGATAATCCAGGGCCCTTCCACACAGCCCTATATCCTAGATGATCAAGGCAGAAAATCCCAAAATATCTGATTTGAACTGGGTTATCCAAGTCCACACTCAGATAATGTGGGATTTTCTGCCTTGATATTCTGGGATATAGGGCTGTGTGGAAGGGCCCTATTGAAATTGTGCATATTGTGAATAGGGCCGTTTGTGCTTTATAGCAGTCTCATCCCATTTTCATTGAAGCTGCAGAATCCTATGGATCCCTGTCATTCACAGTTTGTTTTGGTGTGTATCTTCAAGCTGTCTGTCAACTCATGTTTATGGTATAGTACAGTATTAGTTAGGCCTATTTTTAATAGTAACACTCAAGCAATCAGAAACTTGCATCGACCAATCCCTGTAGGTGCTGGTTAACTATGGCCCCTTCCACACAGCTGTATAAATCCACATTGAACTGGATTATATAGCAGTGTGGACTCAAATAACCCAGTTCAAAGCAGATATTGTGTATTATCTGCCTTGATATTCTGAGTTATATGGCTGTACAGAAGGGCCCTATGAGTCTATTTTCTTATGCAAGGAACATTCAGAGGTTGTTTATCATTGCCATCCAATGACATATAGCCTACAGTATCTGGAATTTCAAACTGGAAATTCCAGGATTCTGTAACCTTCAACCATGGAATCTGAGGCCCCTTCCACACAGCTGAATAAAATCCCACATTTTCTGCTTTGAGCTGGAATATATGGCAGTATGAACTTAGATAACCCAGTTCAAAGCAGATAATATGGGATTCTCTGCCTTGATATTCTGGGTTATATGGCTGTGTGGAAGGGCCCTGAGGCTTATAGTTTATAGAGCTCTATTAGCTGGCGTCAAATAGGCTATAATTGCATAGTGTGAAAGGACCATAACTGTTCTGCCAGGTCACATGGATTTTTTTGCCTTGATGTTCTGGGATATAGGGTGCCCCCATGCCCCTTCTACACCACCATATAAAATCCAGATTATCTGCTTTGAACTGGGTTATATGGCCGTGTAAAGTCATATCCCGCAATCCAGTTCAAAGCAAATAATGTAGAGTATCTGCTTTGATGATTCTGGATTATATTGCAGTTGTTTTAATAACATTGAGCTATGGCAGTTAAAGTCATGTCAGGGCCATTCCACACAGCCATATAACCCAGAATATCAAGGCCGAAAATACCACAATATCTGCTTTGAACTGGGTTATCTGAATCCATACTGTCATATTTCTGTGTACGAACCCACACAATCTCTTTGATCATCTGGAGAGGCCCTGCTCTTGCTCCTGCCCCCTTCGCAGGCAGGATTGGTGGGGACGAGGGAGAGGGCCTTCTCTGTGGTGGTCCCCCCCCCCCGACTCTGGAACTCACTTCCTAAGGATTTCAGGCAACCCGCCATATTGGCAGTCTTTAGGAGGAGCCTGAAAACATGGCTGTTCCAGTGTGCCTTTCCTGAATAAGGAAATAATTCCCAGCAAAATGTCCTCAGAAGCACTTTAACTACTTGTTGGGTTGCTCTACTTTTATTTCTTTTAAAACTCTCTTACCAGATACATCCTACCTCTGTTCATGCCCAGCGTTTATTTTTTTAAATTTTAAACTATTACATTTGGCCTGGCCATAGGTTTTTAAATCTTTGCGTGTTATTGTTTATATGTGATTTATATTAATTGTATTAATTGTATTGTTTTATTTGCTTATTGCTTTTTGTTTTTTGATGTGTTGTCGGGCTTGGCACTCTGAGTCCCCTCGGGGAGATGGTGGCGGGGTATAAATAAAGTTTTATTATTATTATTACAGGTAAAATCAGATAATGTGGGATTTTATTCAATTGTGGAAGGGGCCTCAGACAGTGTAGATGCATCCTGGGTCTCTCAAAGGGAATTCAGGCAAGGATGTACTTGATTTTTTTTAGTTTTCTTTTCAAAATTGTAGATCCAAGAAAGTTGCATTATCTTAATACCCAGAAAAAGACAGATTGCAGTCATTGTTCTTTGGAATGAATTACTATGCAGTTCTCTAATGTAGCTTTGTTTTCATTCTGTCATCTGAAAAATATAATTGTCTTACTTTTACAACTTTAAATGGGAAACTCATTCTCAAAAGTGAGTGACATAGAAAATTTGAAAATCACTTGAAAAACCAATAACCAATAATAAAGCAGAAGGTAATAGGAGAAGAAAGAGACCACACTACAAGTGAATTGATTCAGTCGAGGAATCCACTGTCCTACATTTGCAAGACTTGAGCAGGGCAGTTGAGGACTTAGGTTCATGGAGGTCTCTCATTTGTAGGGTCACCAGAAGTTGGAAGTCTATGGTCCCTTCTACACTGCCATATAATTCAGATTATCAAAGCAGTTGACCCACATTATCTGCTTTGAACGGGATTATATGAGTCTACATTGCCATATAATCCAGTTCAAAGCAGATTATCTGGATTGTATATGACAGTGTAAAAAGGTAAAGGTTTCCCATGACATTAAGTCTAGTCGTGTCCAACTCTGAGGGATGGTGCTCATCTCCATTTCTCTTCGGAAGAACCGGCGTTGTCCATAGCTGCCTCCAAGGTCATGTAGCCAGCATGACTGCATGGAGCACTGTTACCTGCCCACAGAAATGGTACCTATTGATCTACTCACATTTGCATGTTTTCGAACTGCTAGGTTGGCAGAAGCTGGGGCCAACAGCGGGAACTCACCCCGCTTCCCTGGGTTCAAACCGCCAACCTTTCAGTCAGCAAGTTCAGCAGATCAGTGGTTTAATCTGCTGCGCCACCGGGGACAGTGTAGAAGGGCCCTGTGTGAT